GGCTCATCTCCAGTTTAATGACGAGTGGAAAATTAGCTACCGCGATACGTATAATAATGTTTACAATAGTTTGTGGCGTCTCCATTTAAGCCAAGGTGAAGCAAATTATGCCTTGCGTGTTGCTGAGGATGGACGGGCGCAGGCTCTAAAAGATCTCATGGAAGAAAATTATGGGTGTCACGAGGTATACTCTTGGTCTCATTCCTCAGTAGAGTCAACTGGTTCCTCTGCTAGATCCATTCCTTCGACAACAGTTTTCATAGCTCTCAATGAAAAAGAAATCATTTTCTGGGTCATAAGGAAAGATGAAGAAGTCACCTTGAGGAGAAGAGAGGTAAGAGACTATGTTTCAGAAGAAGACGTGAGAACTTACCTTTCGTCTCTATACCATACCACCTTACTCGAAATTGGTGCACGCGCTGGCGTTAAAATCGAAAATCGCTCACTTGATGAGTCACGTGAGGTGGGGTGCACGACTGACAGGGCCCCTGTCAATATTTCTCGGCCTCTTTCATCACAGGAAAGCTTAAAGAGCTTTTTTGACCTTATCATTGCTCCTGTTGCTGACCTGGTTCATGGAAATGACCTCATTCTCGTTCCAGAAGGTCCATTATGTTTGGTACCCTATGCAGCACTGATGAACCCAAAACAGGAGTATCTGTGTGAGTCTCTAAAGATCAGATTCATTCCGTCCTTGACCACTTTGAAATTAGTTACCGATTCTCCAGCTGACTTCCACAATAAGACAGGCGCCCTTCTCGTGGGAGATCCGTACCTAGAGGAAGTTCTCTATAAAGGGAGAAAGTTGGGTGAGCTGCCATATGCAAAGAAAGAAGTAGAGATGATTGGAAGAATCCTAGGAACGGCTCCCCTCATTGGAAAAATGGCGACTAAAGGAGAAGTCTTAAAGCGACTATCCACGGTTGCTTTAGTGCACATCGCCGCACATGGCAAAATGGATACAGGAGAAATTATTTTGGCCCCAAACCCTGCTGAGGAATCCCATCATCCTGAGGAGAAAGACTTTTTGTGGACGATGGCGGATGTGTTGGAAGCTAAGCTGCGGGCAAGATTGGTTGTGTTGAGTTGCTGTCATAGTGCTCATGGAGAAGTAAAGGCTGAGGGAGTGGTTGGCATTTCTCGAGCATTTTTAGGTGCTGGGGCTCGTTCCGTTTTGGTGTCCCTCTGGGGAATTAATGACGAAGCCACTTTCCGATTCATGAAACATTTCTATAAAGGACTAGTTAAAGGAAGGAGGGTCAGTGAAGCTCTTAACCAAGCCATGAAATGTATGAGAGAGTCTGAAGAGTTCGGGGAAGTAAAGTACTGGGCACCATTTGTTCTCATTGGGGATGATGTCACTCTGGAGCTAAATGGAACTGATTCAGTCTAGTCACCGCTGAATGTAAATATAACTTGTTTTGATATTTTCCTTTAATGTTCTTAACACTCTTAAAGTGCTTAGTCTTGACGTCAAATTTTACACACTTCATTCATCTGCATTCTCTACTGTAATACGACTCTCTTGCAAACCCACCCAAATTTCATTTCATTTCAAGCCACAGGAGTTATATTTGTGGACTGTTTCATACGAGATT